AATTCGATATTCAATTTCAGTAATATTTTAATCTAATTAAACCGTTGGCACAATGTTTTATAGCGGTGTTTTTATTCTCTTTTTTGCTATATGAAAGTAATAATAACCTTACTTTAGTATTTTATACTCATAGTAAATGTATTTATTTACACTTGCCTGCCATCTTAAAAAACGATCTTTTCAACTAAAATGAATCCATTTACTTTTAACGATATTTTTTTTTTTTTTTTAAAGTTTCGAATACTTTAATATGCGTAAAAACAGCGTTTTTCAAGATGGCTGACGATTGTAAAAATCGCGCCAACAATTGCGCCAACGTAAATCGCCAAAAATGCGTGCAACCGTCTACCAAAGTAGCACCGCAAGTAATATAGATGTTCAAAATTTCCAAACAGTAAGTGTGAATAAACTTAAACCTAGCATCTCGCATAAAACCTAATAATGACATGATCACAATCAGAATCTGGTTGGTGAGTTAAATAACAATCAGAAATGAAAGAATTTATTGAAAAGTCTCATCAACAATAGAAAAAAAATCAAAGTAAGAAATAGTTACAATAAAAGAATAAAGCACCAAACGAATGAAGAAATACGTTCGTACAGAAAAGAATTTATTGAAAAGTCTTAGCGACAAAAGTAAAAATCAAAGTATGAAACAGATACAATAAAAAAAGAATAAAACACCAAATAAAGGAATAAATAAATGCATAAAACATGAACAATAAAAATGCAGTCAAATAGTAAATGACAAACATCACGACATAAAGAGCAATTAAGCTGTGACCAAGCAAACTTTCATTTTGAAAACTATCACCTGCAGAAAATACTGAAACAGAAACGGAATTAATTAAACTTTATAAAACAAACCTAATGATTTTTTTTAGCTTTTTCTACAACCATAAGAATACAAAAATTTAGAGATAAGAAAGTTAAGATCCACTGTTTTTATATATAAATGCTACAGGTTCTTCCTATAAACAGATATAGATACCTCTTTTCTCTTGAACTTCCACATGACGATTCACCAAACACATAACTAGTTCGCTTACGAGTAGTTCCTTTAGTCGAGTTAAAAATAAATTTCGTTGACACAGCATCTGCCTTTAACAATCTTCTATTCGTAAATGGCTGATTCTTCTTCGAAATGTTTAGAACAAATTCTAGTAGTGTGGGTAGTATTGAGATTTTCCCTTTTTATTTTTACAATCCACTGATTACGCAAATTTTCATCCTTAGGAAACAGATGAAACGAAATCTTACTTTCTTTACATTTGTCCTTGATACTATTGTCTGAACAACCGTATTCGCAACAAGCAGTAGGCATTGTCAGAACTGATATACTAGAAAAAGTAAACAGCAATTTACAAACCAGAATCAAAATAACGAAACTGTAATGCAAAAGTCATAAAAGAATTAACTGTCAAATTAAGGAAAGAATTCATACGTAATACGACCATTCAAAATTGGGGGGAGTCTGCGATCACCGAGGCAAGCGGCAGCACGATCGCTGCGCTCCGTAAAAAAGTGAAAATTTTTTTCCTTTCCTCTTGGTGATTATCAATTAAATTTCTTTGAAAAATTTTTTTTTTCCCCTACAAAACCTATATCATTCCAATGAATTTCGGCTCCGATGTTGACGAGAATAAAACAGCGGACAATGTAAGGATATACTTCCAAAAAAGCCTGGAATTTTAAGATAAGTACTTTTCTTTCATCTAAACTAAATCAAATTTCTATAAATAAGTGCCTTTAAATCAATAAATCTTAATTTTTCATCAGTTTAAAGCATTAAAAAATACTTGAAATTGCCATTGCTTGTGGCTTCCTTTGTGTATCAACTCGAAACAGACGCCAGCGTTATCAGTTCACGTCTGTCAACACTTACAAAGCCCTTAAGGAATCTCGAGAGAGGGAAAATTTGGGGATGAGAGGGATAATTTGGGCATCGCGCTATTTCCCTCTCGGATGTTCTGGATTCTCATTTCTTTCTAAAGATTTCTCATTTCTTTCTAGATCGCTTGAATATAGTTTCGCCTTTAAATAATATTATACCTCACCGATTTTTTTCTCATACTGTTCTTTGCTATCTGTTAAATGTCCATATGTAAGGGATGGTTTATTCTTCACCGCCTTAAATGAATTCTTAGAACTATGAGCTTATATAAATAACAGTGTGCCTCATTGTGTTATATTAACATTATTTAACTAGTAATAAATTATGATAGTAAAATAATTAATCTTGTAATTGTAATAAATTATGATAGTTTTAAATTAATAAATACTGTTTAATTTGTGTTTTTAATACATATACTCAGTTATTTACACACACATATATATATATATTTATTTATTTTTTTTGTTTTTGGGTGTATGCGGTTGTGGTCTTGTATTGTATATTTTGTATATGGTTCTATGTTGTTAGTCTGCTGCTGCTTTTTGAAAAATGTATGAAAATGTTGAGAATGAAAGTAGCATAAGTTACTTTGGTTAAATTAATATATACTTTTGTTTGATGACCTTTGTTGATATCTCAGGATGCAAGCGTACATATTACTTTATATTCCATGCTAAATACCTTGATACGAAGCATTTTAACACCGTCAATATTTGTTTTTTCCCCAGTAACACATCTATTCACCATTACCAAACACACTCACTACACAAACACACCTGTGAGACACTATTTATTGTAAATGAAGACAGTTTCTTCTCCTTTTAACTACACTCATGGACACAATCGTATTTTAGGATATTTTCTACTTCTTTTCGTTTTCTTTCTATAGGCCCTTTTTTTTTTTTTTTTTTTTTTTTTCCCTCTATTATTTTTGGGCCATTTATTTTAAATTTTATTTTGTCCCATCTTTTCTTCCTGGCCTTTTGAACTCGTACAAGATGTACGAAGTTCCTTTTTACTCTCCTCAAATACGAAATTGCCCCTCTTTCTATATACCTTTCCTTCGCACCTATGCTTGATTTTTCGCCCATCGGTGCAGAAAGACTTAGCGGGTGCAAAACAAGACATCTGTCTACTTTGTCTGTCTGTCTGCTGGTGGCGCTGCGATAAACAGGCAAAACAGCTCCGTTTTAAATAGTTTCAGTTTCAACTCTCTAAAAAGTTTAATGCACCTTTCCTATGCAATGTCTCCATCAAAAAAAGGAAACTTCGCTTCTCGAAACTTCAGTTAGCTGTTTACTATCAACACGAGAAATCCAAAAGAGGCCCTGACACGGAACATTCAGATAAGTAACATTTCTGTTCTCTATACAATATATGTTTCTCTATCACTAAGTGCCAATTAAATTTTTTTATTTATTATTTTTCATAAGATTCTAAGCATTATACAATAGTTAGTAATAGTAGCAAGTCATGTGGTTCTTTTCTTCGTAACTATTCCGTACAGACGCCACATTCCTTATCAGTAGTCCGTTCTTATCAGCAATTCACACCCTTCGGAGGCCCCCCTCTTCATGCTTAGGAATTTCTTGAGAGGGAAAAAAATGGGGATCTCTTGACCAACGATGAGTATAGATTGTGATTTTTGTAACTAAGATCCTCGACTTTTTTTTTTTTTTAGGTCTCAAACTTAGAATTATGAGCAAATATAAATACAGTGTGACGGAATTTGTTAAAGTTGTACTATAATAAATTACAATGGTTAAATTAATAAATTAATTTTATTTAACTAATTTAAGAAAAATAAACTGTGTAATTTATTTTGCTGAAATGCTCTCACACTGTGTGCATGGATTTATGATTTTGTCAATTACTGTTTTTATGAAATATACATGAATTTTTTGGGAACGGTAATATTTAATGTTACTTTAGTTAAAATATTATGTACATCTCTGTGATGATATATGTCTTTTCTTGTTAGGTCTCAAGATAACGGCATACACATTACCATGTAGGAATTCATTCATTCATTCATTTATTATTTTTTTTAACTTAGCTAAAGTTTGCTTCTTAAAGACACGAATTTTTGCAGATGAACTCCTTAACTACACTCATGGACACAATCGTATTTTAGGGTATTTTCTACTTCTTTTCCTTTTCTTTCTATAGGCCCTTTTTTTCCCCCCTCTATTATTTTTGGGCCATTTAATTTAAATTTTATTTTGTCCCATCTTTTCTTTCTGGCTTTTTGAACTCGTACAAAATGTACGAAGTTCCTTTTTACTCTCCTCAAATACGAAATTGCCCCTCTTTCTATATACCTTTCCTTCGCACCTATGCTTGATTTTTCGCCCATCGGTGCAGAAAGACTTAGCGGGTGCAAAACAAGACATCTGTCTACTTTGTCTGTCTGTCTGTCTGTCATTCAAAATATGGCAAAGCAATGAACAACGGGTATCATGAAAATAACAAAAAAAATGCACCAATATATATATATATACATATATAATGTTGTATGATCTTAAATTCATTTAGTGCGAAAACAAGTTACTACTACTTGCGCAATTGCTGCAAAGTTAGTTAATAATAATTTATTTCCTATAGGAAATAAATTATTATATATATATCAAAATTATACTAACTAAATGAACGAATAGATAATTAAATGATGAAACAATGACTGAAATGAACTACAAATTTCATAAAGATTTAAGAGCAAACTAAACTTTCAACGAATCGAACGCAGCGGAATTACCTAGTTTTTTACAATACTATTCATCCGTCACGTGACCTCCGACGTCACCGGAATGTATCTCATTTTTCCCGCGAGTGTCTATTCTTTTCAACAAGTGGTAATTTCTAAATGCAGATGATAATTCTTATAATATCTATCAGGTTTGTATGGACCTTAGTTTATCATAGATCTTGTATAAAACGTATCTAACTTGAGGGCGATCATCTGATCGAAATATCAATTCCTCTTTTGAAGAAGGAGAAATAATTTTTTAAATTTATAAATTAAATTTAAATAATTTGTGGTCAGCCTTTTTTATTTTTTTTCATTACTTACCTTTTCGTCACTAGGTAGAAAGTTAATAGTAAGATGCACCAAAAGACTGTTGTGTACTTATTCTGAACGGCGAAGCAATATGCTGTAATAACTAATTCTATTTATTCACAATCTTCGTCAATTCGTTCTGAAAAATAAAACATACGTAGAAAGTTTATCTTTAAAAGCAGCACAATGGTTGTTTATTCTCAAGAGTATATTGAGAAGAAATTAAAAAATGAATTAGATACGTCATTTATTGTTAGTATTTCATTCATATTTATAAGCCGTTATCTTGTGTGTTCCTTAATAAGCTAATCATTTTTCTGCGGTATCGATTTTCTTTTATAAACGGCGTGTAAAAATAATGTATGTTAAAAAACGATTATTCTGTATAAATTTACCTTGCAAGAATATATCGTGTTATTTTAGATACAGTTAAGATACATTAAAATATGGAAACAATTCGTAAATGATTTAGCTTATTCTGGAATCATTTTATGTTTGACTATATTTAAAAGTTTCCTATTTTAATAATAGTATGATAAATATTATTTTACATTCTAGTCTGTGGAAGACCTATCGGATGGTTGTGGTGCAAAATTCAATGCTATCATTGTGACTAAAAAATTCGAAGGTGTTCCTTTGTTGCAGAGACACAGGTAATAATGTTTTACTTGATGGTATTCTCATCTTTACCTTTTAATATATCATTATAATGGCAGTTTTTAGTTTATGACACATTTTGAGAGTATTTACTATTTGAATTATAAAAAAAGAATTGTTTGTTGTAGCCCAGATATAAATATGTTTCAGCGTAAAATATTTTTGATCTTGCACACAGTCATTAATGTATTTATAATAAAGGTAATTTGTATGCTGAAAATTTTATTCCTGTGACTAGAAAAAATATGTAGTTGTCTATGTAAAGCTAGTATTGAAAATTGCTATGTAGATAATTATTTACATAATTTCACGTCATCAGGCTTTAAAATCATCTTTTGAAAAAAGTAAATGCTATGGTATGCCAATAATTCTAGAATGAATACAAAAATGCAAGCAAATTCTGTGAAGAATAAATTTTAAAGAATTATTTATTTATCTTTTGCAGTATTCATTCATTTTATGTGATGATAAGGTGAGTTCAGAGGGTGGGAAAAATAAAACAAAAATAAAAATATTCAAAATAAAGTCCTGCAACAAGAGATCAAAATATACATAGTAGTTTACTTATTTCTTTATGCAAAGCAGATTTATTTATGTATTATATTTAATTGCTTTGATAAATCTAAATTTAATTGTCTTTGAAGTTAACATTTGTACATTTGTCTGTTTTTACATGTTCAATGTTTAACTGAAGCTGATAGGCTTAATATAAAATACAGCATATTTTGAAATTTCAAACTATATAATACATTTTTTACAGTAATGCAACTTAAACTATGGAAGCATTTTGCAGCTATATCCCTTTAATGAAGCGTGTTTAAGACCATAGACCTGTTATATACTAGACGGAGCATCGCCATTCAAAACCGGGTGAAAAAGTGGCACAGGAATGAGCTGCAGAAGTTTGGGCATGAAATGGAACTGAATCCAGACTTTGGCGTACTATCGCCATGGCTGGTGATATTTTCCTCTCTTTTCTCTCAGTTCGAAATGCGAACTTGGAAAGACGTCATTTCGCAGAGGCTGCCGTTGAATTTGCAGAAGAGGTTAGATCGATAAACACCAGCCAAAATTAATAATTTCCCTAAAATTGGACACTCTACTTTAAAATTACTTTACTTTATTTTAAATTTAATTTTTAAAATTTAAATAATTTCATGCTGTAGAATAATATTTTGCAATATGTCCATCGGCGTCTACAAAATTTTAAAAAAATAAAAAAAAAACTGGAGAGAACAAACTAAATAATAAATAATATACTAACAGCAAACTAAAAAAATAATAAGTAAATAAATAAATAAAAGAAGGTTTTTAGTACTTAGGAAGAAAAAAAAAAAAAAATGATAACATAAAAGAATGAGTGAAAACAGAAAATAGTACAAAAAGGAAATTTAATGTTAATACGAAAAGGAAATTTAACGTTAACACGTGTATTACAGAGAACTACAGAGTAGGCAAATCAACGTGAGAAAGGCATTAAATTAAATGAACTAAAAATGAATGTCAATATAAGCAGATACAAGTTAAAAGGAAGAGAGAGAGGTAAAAATTAATGAAACAAAAAAGTGATAAATTAGAGACTTTTACTAGCAAATATATAATATATAAGTATATTACGCACGTTGCACAATGTAGTCGCACTTGATTTTAAATAATTTTAGAAGATAAAATTTAAATAATGTTCATTATTTTTAAAAAGAAACTTAAAACTGATTAAAGTTTTGAAATTTAACTGCTATATAATTGACTATTATCTTAATACTTAACAAATTCTTAATATTAAAATAAATGACAGAAACATGATATAAGAAAGAAAATACGTGATTGAAGGTAAACAAATTTGTTATATTTGGATGCAAGAAAAGGGGATAAAATAAAGTCATTCATATCCCCCCCAAAAAAAACTAATTTTATTGCAGTTCTTACACAGTGTTACATCAACATTACCAAGTATTAAATACATACATTACTACTTCACACATTGTCCGCATGAGCAAACGCATACAAAGAATATATAAACAAACGTATTCAAAGCAGTCTGTTGGTGTATAAAAAAATGTCGCCAAAGCAGAATACTAGACTAATTTAAATTATATTGTATTACTAAAATTTTAACATTTTTTTTCAGAAAACAGTTTATTAGAAACATACATATATATTAAGATACTTTTATTTAAATGTTATTTCAAGTATGCATATATTATATAAAATTAGAAAATCTATTTTTTATTAAAAAAGGCAAGTAGAGGAAAAAAAACCTCTATATTTTATAAAATTAGGTTTTTAAAACATTAGAAAAAAAGCTCAGTTGTGAAATGTTACTCTTCCATCTTTCACATATCTGGAATTACATCCATATGCGGAGCACGAAAGTATCATTTTTGAAGTCCGAAACAATGCGCTTACACGCAAAACACTTGCTTCTCACAAATTCTCCATAGAACTGTAATGGTAAGGAAGATTCGCGGGAAATAAGATGTGGGAAATGTTCCAAACATCACGTGGTTCGCATTCCTGTTCCCCTTCAGGGTTGCCGTTTCTCTCTCTAGTACATTACAGCTCTACGTTTAAGACATCAAAATGGGGCTGATCTTTGGAATATGGTAACAGGTAGTTTGGCGACATTTTGGAGGCGATAAAGGTTACTACCTAGGACTTTGGTAATAATGTGAGACGTACTCAGTTCCGATTACGCATTATTTTGTGTAAGGGAAATGAGAGATCATGAGATATGTCATGTGATATTAATGGACGAATTACAGTTCTTTAATCGGAAAAGGAGGTAAATTTGGAAAAATTATTTTGTCTGGATTTCGGATTTAGAAATTAGCAGTAGTACTGCAGCCGATTGGAACTCTTTCTGTAGGGATGTGTGCATGCCACGTAATGAAGATTCTGAAGAAGATTAGGTAAGTTAGTCTTTTTTAATCATTTGAGGATATTATTTTTATGCATGTTCTAAATGTAAGGAGTAAATAATTAATGTGGTATTATTGGAAAATTGTTATTAGCATGATTTAGTTTAAAGTAATTAGGATTGTAATGAATTTTTATTAATTTAATGTATGTGCTTATTTCTATTTTAAGTAATGTTTTTATATAATTTTAATTAATTTTAATTTAATGATCGTGATTTGTGAGTTTATGTTTGTAGTATTTTGGAATACGTTTGAGTAGTATACGTTGAGTATTTTCATGCATTTTCGTGAAATTTTTTTCTAATTTATGAGAAAAAAGCAGTGTACATGGATATAGTGAAGAGTGTTCGCAATGCCATTTTTTGTGCAAATCTGGGATTTTTTTTAAGTAAAAATAAGTCGAGGTGTACATGTTTAGTTATTTTAATTAAATGATAGTTATTTTGTGAATTTTATGTTTGTAGCAATTTGGTAAACATTTCAGTTGAAGTAAACGTGCATGGAAATAATTTAAATATTTGACACTAAGTATTTGTAACCATTTTTAATATTTGCGGTAGAAATTCGTTGCTGACGTTTATAATATAATAGATAATTAAGAGGTAAAAGTTTTTGGATATTTTATTTATTTTATACGTGGAAATGTTCATCCTTGGAAAGGGTATATACTTTTTCGTGATCAGGTAATTTCATATATGTTGTTTTTACCGGATTTAAAGATTCACAAAATTTTCATGCATTTTCGTGAAATTTTTCTAATTTATGATGAAAAAGCAGTGTACATGGATATAGTGAAGAGTGTGCGCAATGCCATTTTTGTGCAATTCTGGGTTGATCTTTACAATATGGTAACTGGTAGTTTGGCGACATTTTGGAGGCGATAAAGGTTACTACCTGGCACTTTGGTAATAATGTGAGCAGTACTCAGTTCCGATTACGCATTATTTTGTGTGAGGGAAATGAGAGATCATGGGATATGTCATTGATATTAATGGACGAATTACAGTTCTTTAAATCGGAAAAGGGGGAAATCGGGAAAAAATCTGGAAATTTTGTATTTGGCTTTATTCTGTGTTGTGTGAAACAGGTTCGTGAATTTTGGATCCCATGGCCGTAACTAAAGTGAATTCGAAATGGGTATTTATGTATGTATTAATTTAATGTATGTGCTCATTTAATTTTAAGTATGTTTTTGAATTTAATTATATTTTAATTAAGTGATAGTTATTTTGCGAATTTTATGTTTGTAGGAATTTGGTATACGTTTTAGTTAAGTAAACGTGCATGGAAATAATTTAAATATCTGACACTAAGTATTTGTAATGGTTGCGGTATGAATTCGTTTGGTGACGTGTATAATGTAATAGATGATTAGAGGTAAAGTTTTTGGATATTTTATTTATTTTATATGTGGAAATGTTTCATTACTTTTTCGCGATCAGGTAATTTCATATAGGTTCTTTTTACTGGGTTAAAGATTGAGAAAATTGTCATGTATTTTCGTGAAATTTTTCTAATTTATGAGAAAAAAGCAGTGTACATGGATATAGTGAAGAGTGTGCGCAATGCCATTTTTGTGCAATTCTGGGATGTTTTTTAAGTAAAAATAAGTCGGCGTGTACATGGTTTAGTGATATTTTAATTAAATGATAGTTATTTTGTGAATTTATGTTTGTAGGAATTTGGTACACGTTTAAGTTGAAGTAAACGTGCATGGAAATAATTTAAATATTTGATACTAAGTATTTGTATGCTTGCGGTATGAATTCGTTGGTGACGTGTATAATGTAAAGATGATTTAGAGGTAAAAGTTTTTGGATATTTTATTTATTTTATATGTGGAAATGTTCATATTTAGAAAGGGTAAATACTTTTTCGCGATCAGGTAATTTCATATAGTTCTTTTTACCGGGTTTAAAGATTCAGAAAATTGTCATGTATTTTCGTGAAATTTTTCTATTTATGAGAAAAAGCAGTGTACATGGATATAGTGAAGAGTGTGCGCATGCCATTTTTGTGCAATTCTGGGATGTTTTTTTAAGTAAAAATAAGTCGGCATGTACATGGTTTATGTGTAT